AAAAAAAAAGTGCGCGTGCAGCGTGGGGCAGGCGTGTTTTTTTTTTTTTTTTAACTGTGTGTTCCTAATTAACAAAAATATATGCATATATATAAACACTGAAAATGGTTCAAAGAATAATGTTGACTATTCAACGTGATGTAAAATTGATGATATAAGACAAAACATTTTACCATATAAACGTACATTTCTTATTGAATTTTTTTTTTTTTTATTGTTTAGGGAAAAATGTAGAAATGTAAAATAGGAGAACGTCTGGATCGAACTAGAATCATACCGGGTTCGGTGTGCCGTACCCCCCTATTTTAAAGACCACTAATTTAAACACTAGTACTGCAGGAGCAGGTCTTTAAAGACACCCTCAACCTCTTAACAATCATATGAAATCTCAGCATTTTTTTTTTCTCTGCTAACTTTATTAACAGCCTAATCCGCTGCCCTGTCCCCTCTCCAACCCCTCCAGCCCTTCCGAACAACGCTTGTGATCCATTCAGCACAGCGGACAGTTCTGCTTTCCATTAGCAATGAGCCTTCAAACAAACTCTCTGCTGATATTTATGACTGACTGACTGCCCTGCCCCCCACCCCCTCCTCCCCAACAGTGACGCAGTGGGAGAGTGGGCTAATCTTTTAATGTGCTGCAGGCATGCCTTGGATTCTGTGTGTTTTCATGGTAGAGGAAATATTTGCACCTCATGGTCTTGTAGTGCAGTGGATTTGTTTTTAACATGTGAGGAATGCAAACTTGGAGGAGAGAGAATTAAGTGTGTTGCAGAAAAGTATCCAATTTCACTTAATTGGTCTGAAAACTATCATTCATGTTCTTCAATGCATAGTGACGGTAGAACAATTGAAAACTCTTCCAGTAGATGGCAGCAGATAAAAACTAGAAGAGAGAAAAGAGAAAGAAAACAAGAGAATGAGAGCTGTTGAAGTACTTTGTGTGTCTTTCTTCAATTCCTGCAAGTATATCAGCATTGTCTTCGAGTAAACAGGATCATTTATTAGATATACTTTTGTGAGATTTTCTTTGGTGGTGTGCCGTGGGGTTTTGTCAAAATGAAAAATATGCCACGGCGCAGCAAAGGTTTGGAGACACTGGTCTAACTGGTCGACTGAACAGGCTAGTGCGCTAGAGCATCAAAGTAGTTGTGGTAGTATTGTGGTAGTACAGCAAGCTCAGGTGCGGATAATTACACATTTCTTTCTAATAAGTAGTTTACCATATCTTATACACTTTGACTTTATTGTGGGAAACAAATAAATAAATAAATGACATATCAGAAAGGCATTCCAACAATTAAGCGGTAAAATGTCTTAAAGCTAGTGAAGTACAGAGATAAGGCAGAAGGACACTTGGCCAAAAAGAAAATCCTGCTGTAGCTAAAATAACATTTTAAACAACGACCTAAACACTAGCCATTGGTGAAACTTTAGCGTACACTTAGCTCAGATGGCTAAAAGCTAGACCTGGAGCATGACATTTACAGGTTAGTCTAATTTCTTTGACATATTTTCTTTCACTCTTCATGTTCAACAATCTAACACTTAACACTTAAGCTAAATGTTAGCTTCCAGCTAAAACAAAAGTGTAATGAGGCCTGATAGGTGAATCTCCACTAGAAATGCTGTTGTCAACAATGCACAGTGTGGGTGACTGTCATCCATTCAGCACCATGGACAGTTCTACTTCCCTACTAGCAACCAACCTTCACAGAACTCACTGGTTTTTTTTCAGCGGTGACACTGTTAAAATACACGAATGGCCAAGAATGAGACCAAAGCAGAAAGTTGTTTAAGGCTTGAATATCTTTCTTCAATAATTTGCTAAAAGTTAAGCCTAACCGGAATATTATCATTCCCCTGATAAACAAAAAATCAGTTTGAGACAGAATAGGATTGAAGATCCATCAAACATCACACCATCATCTGCAAAAACGGTGTCGAAGGAAGTCTGTCACCGTCCTCCGGAATTGTTGTCTCACCCTCCCCCCTCCAGCGGACATTAATCAAAGCCTGTAGTTCTCTCTCTTTCCACACCTCTTATTTAAGGGACAGGGTGAGAACGTCTCCTCCTGGACATACCCGTCCAATGTCCGTCGTCAATATTCAAAGCCATTGAAAGACAGAGACAGATTCGTTGTTTAAAGTTTTACTGCATAACAAATTCTGCTTGGTGAACTTGGAGGGCATGTTTTTTTTTCTTTCTGTGTCCTTGCTTTAACAAGTTGCTTTGCTATTGTTTGACAAACAATAACAAACACGACAGAAGAAGAGCAGGAGGTTGGACCAAGAACTATTTAATTTATTTATAGGCTGACAAATCTAG